CTCCCCTCGTCGTTTTTTGCATTTCATTTAACGGTGTTGCGTGTGTGTGGGGTAAGTTTAAAGAAATTTCTTTTATAGCCCTACCGTTGGGTGCTGATGCATAATAATTCGTGTTTTTTTCTTTATTTCTATTCGTGACTTTAGAAATGTTAAAATATGTGGTCAGGGAAATTTCGTGCCAGGTAATGTTGCATAGCCGAGCGTGGGATACTACGTGTTAGAGTAAATACAGTGCCGGCCATTTGAATCTCGCCCCTTTTTATCCTCAGTATTGACAGTTTTCCTTTTGTTTATTTAATATTCATTAATTAAAAAAAAAACATAGTATCGAGCCCTAACCGCCAAAATAACGTAAGCGAAATTTTTATCTAAATTTTCTTTTTTGATGCACAAATACATCTAGATGCTCTAGGAATATTTCTGCATCAAAAAGAAAATTTTGGAAGAAAAATCGCTTACGTTATTTTGGCGGTTAGGGCTCGGTATATTCAATAAGCAAAAACCATATAAATGCGATGCTCAGGCTTTATACAAAATTTATAGTAATTCAAGAAATTCTCATACAAAATTCCAATTTTAAAAAAATTTTATTTTTTTTATAAATTTTTTTATTATTTTTTTTTTTTAATGAGTAATGAATTTTTTCCATACGAGGTATGCTCGCATATTTTTTTTAATGAGGAAAAATTTATGCAATTTTTTATAAACTTTGAAACTTGCGCCGTACATATTATCTTCTATACATATAACAAAATTGTAACGGGCCGATGTCTGCACATTATAGATATTAACGAAAAATTGTTACGGGGGTCTTCATTCAAACTAAGCCAAATTAACAATTTTTAGAATTTATGTTGGTCTATTTGTCTCTATGGAAAATGGAACTTAAAATATAGAAAAACAAAATAGAGAGTTGCCACCTGTTTGAAAATTTCACTTTAAGTAAAATGATAAGATAAATTACTTATTGAAATATATGTGTAAAAAGAAAGAGGCTTAAGAAAGCTTAGAGCCAAAATTATATTTGTGGAAGGCTGCCACCTATTTGAAATTTTTAATTTATTATAATTGAAAAGATAAATAAAATATTGTAATAAGGGTATAAAACCAAAGAGGTTTAGGAAAGTTTACTGCCGAAAATATTTTTCAGGAGGGCTGCCACCTGTTTCTAAAAATAAAATAAATGAAATATTACAATACGGGTATCAAACTAAACAGGGTTATGAAACTATAGTGTGGGAAATATTTTTGAAGTGGGTTGCNTTGAATGCTTACTGCCACTTGTCGGTAATGTTATGGAAGTAGTTACTCTCTAAAAGTGCACAATTACTCACTCGTAAGAGGTAGAGCAAATTTTCTACCTCTACTGCTCCCCTCGTCGTTTTTTGCATTTCATTTAACGGTGTTGCGTGTGTGTGGGTTAAGTTTAAAGAAATTTCTTTTATAGCCCTACCGTTGGGTGCTGATGCATAATAATTCGTGGTTTTTTCTTTATTTTTATTCGTGACTTTAGAAATGTTAAAATATGTGGTTAAGGAAATTTCGTGCCAGGTAATGCTACATAGCCGAGCGCGGGGTACTACGTATTAGAATAAATACAGTGCCGGTCATTTGAATCCCGCCCCTTTTAATCCTCAGTATTGACAGTTTTCCTTTTGTTTATTTAATATTAATTAATTAAAAAAGAAAACCATGGTATCGAGCCCTAACCGCCAAAATAACGTAAGTGAAATTTTTATCTAAATTTTCTTTTTGATGCAGAAATGCATCTAGATCATCTAGGAATATTTCTGCATCAAAAAGAAAATTTTAAAAAAAAATTCGCTTACGTTATTTTGGCGGTTAGTGCTAGGTATATTCAATAAACAAAAACCATGCTCAGGCTATATACAAAATTTATAATAATTCAACAAATTCTCATACAAAATTTCAAACTTAAAAAAAAATTTAATTTATTTTTGTTTATGTTTTTGAAGGAGTTACATATTACATATTATCTCCTATACATATAACAAAATTGTAACGGGCCGATGTCTGTACAATATAGATATGAACGAATAATTGCTACGGGGGTCTTCATTCAAACTAAGCCAAATGAACCACTTTTAGAATTTATGTCGGTCTATTTGTCTCTATGGAAATTGAATACATTTTTCACCGATGTGTAGCTAGAGGTCTGACTTAAAATATAGAAAAACAAGATAGAGAGTTGCCACCTGTTTGAAAATTTCAGTTTAAGTAAATTGTTAAGATAAATTAGATATTAAAATATATCTGTCTAAAGAAAGAGGCTTAAGAAAGCTTAGAGTCGAAACAATTTTTATGGAAAGCTGCCACTTATTTGAAATTTTTAATTTATTATAATTGAAAAGATAAATAAAATATTGCAATAAGGGTGTTAAACCAAAGAAAAAGGAAAGTTTACTGCCGAAAATATTTTTCAGAAGGGCTGCCACCTGTTTCTAAAAATTTCATTAAATTAAATTAATAAAATAAATGAAATATTACAATACGGGTATCAAACTGAACAGATTTATGAAACTATAGTGTGGGAAATATTTTTGAAGTGGGTTGCCACCTATTTGAAAAATGCATTTCAGGTAAATTTATAAGGTAAGCCAAATATTATAATATGGGTATCATTGAGAAATTGTTGATTTAGAAATATCTTCAACTAGCAAATACCTCACATGCTTCGCAGCGCCTCGAAAATATTTTTGTTTAATTACTGCCCCTCACAACAACTAATACTGTAGTATTTGTAAAGAAGGCAGATTTTCTCAAATTACCAAAAAAAAAATTGATTTCCGATTTTCATTTAATATAAATATACGGTACTAGAATATTTTTCGCGGCAAATACACATTTGAAGAAAGCGCGCGATATGTAAACTCGAGTTATAAGATTACAAATTAAATTTCCAGGAGAAAGTCGGGCCTTTTTTGCGATATCATCATAGCTATATATCGATGATATTTGTTGGATTTGCATAGAGATTAACCGTTTATTCTGAAAAACGGGTCTCACAGACCTTCGCGCTCACAACGAAGAAGACTGAAAAGGCTATGTGTCTTAATTTTGTTAAAAAAAAATTTGGTACTTTACAGTCAAAATGAATTATTTCGATATAAAATCGTTTCAATTAATTTTCAGTTTTACTAGGAATTGCGGCCAACGTGTCGCGCAGGTTAGGGTTCCGTGAGACCGCATGTCCAGGCTGGTGTTACGAAAAAAGATCCTAACGTAAAAGTTAAAAGCGTATACCATTATATATTTTTCCAATTGGTACTGATTTCTATGACCTTATCGATAAATTTATGGACAACCATGCCGATACCAAAGAATTTATTAAAATCGATAAATTCTCATGTGGTACTTCAACCGTTTATCAGTTTGGGCTGAGACAAAAAATCGATAGCAAAACTTGTTATTTTATAGATATCAATATCGATATCGATAACACTATATATCGGTAATACTATCGATAACAAATATAATTAATCTTAAAAATGCTAAAAATATAAATTGTAAAGATAAATTTATTTACAGTAAAATCGATTTTCAGCGGTCACTCCTTCTCGTGCTCTTACCACGCTTTTATCTTAATTTGCATGGATATGTACATACATATGTATATGTAGGTTTGCGTGTATGAGTTTTCACAATCCTTTCGTTAATTAATAAATTGAAATTGTTGACTTTTACTTGTGTTAAGTGGAAACTGAAAATTGTAACTTGTTTACTTTGGCATGCGCAAAAAAAGGGCTGGCAGTCAGGTGGCCTGAAAAAAATAAATTAATAAATTTAATTTCGTGGCTAACAACATAAAATGAAATAAATAAAACATTATACAAATATTTGTTTATCTTAAACGCGCTAAAATTTAGCAAATAAAATATATATTTATTTAAATTAATGCGTTTTCAATAAATAAATATGAACTAAAATTTTCTAGTTTATCAGCTTCGAAGTGAACCAACTGTATTGCTGTAGTATAAAAACAAATGCAAATAAAAAAAATATGTGAATTTAAGTGAATGCAGCGGAGATTGTGGCAGCGCATAATTTTGAACTAAACAAAAATTTTACGAAAAATTTCAGCGCAAAGCATACTAATTAAAGTGCAAAGACTCTTTAATTGCACGCAGATGGTTAACAGGGAAAGAAAATTTTACAAGCTTACTCAAAGACACTCAACTATTGCTGAAATCTCTAAATCTACGCATCGACGCTGAGCAGATTGACTATAATTGAAGCTAAACTAAAAAAACAAATAATAATAATCAACAATATACCTACAAATATAATCAAAAAAACTAGTGACAATGCTATAAAAATCTAAAGCTAAAAACAAAAAAAAGCCAACATATTTTTAAAAGCTATATTAAAAAAAAAAAAAGAAAAAGCAAATGTTAAAGTTTTTCGTTAACTGCATAAATGTTGTTAATTACATACATATATACAAGTACATACATACATATATATATATATAACTACATATAAATATTGTTAAAACTGTTTCAACTTGAAATTTTATCAAAAAAAAAACATCGCTAGAATTAAAGAAAAACACAAAGCAGAAATCGTAAAGCAGGTAACGACGTGCAACAGAGCCAGAAACGCAAAGCTTCCAGATCAAATATCTCATACAACAGTAGGCAAAGTTACTATTTTTCAAACCAAAAAGCATTTTGAGCAACCCTACGACATAAGGCAACCAAGCAAAAAAGTCAGCAGCAGTCTATACACTTAGCATAAAACATATTTTTGTGAAATTTATTCTACACGCAAATCAAAGCTGATAGAGTGCAAAGCCAGCAAGCTACTACAAGGTGATTTAAGATTTAAAAAATAAAAGACATTTAATTCAGAGAAGTATATATTTGGAGAAAAAAATTGTGCAGTCAAAAAATAGAATTAATAAAATTGCTGCAGGACAGCGCGACATCAACACTTAAAAATTAAAACAACCAAAACCAACAAACAACAGCTGCGCATAAATGTTGCACTACAATTTAGGCGAGCAATATCCACAATTATTGGCAACTCAGCAACGTAAACGATATCAACAACAAAAATCACGGCATCTGCAGGAGGACGATCAGGCGCTGTTGCTACAACAGCAACAGTCGCAACAGGCACAGCAACAGCAACCACCATCTTCCCAACAGCAACAGCAACAGAAGAAACCTCTGCGCATCTTTCGCGTACACTACATACGCATCAATTCCAAGGACGGTTGTGGTGGGCTCAATAGAAGCAGCAGTCTCACCAACCTCTCCTCATTTAGTAGTGGAAGCAGCAGCAGCGGCGGCGGCGGTGGCTGCAGCACAACTTGTAGCGGTATTGGTGCAACAAATGCAACTTCCGGCAAAATGAAAACTATCGCACCAAATATACGACGGCGACGTCGTTGTGACAAACATCATTTGGAATTGGCTGCCACAGCAGCGGCTGCAGCAACAGCTGCTGCGGCGACAACATCCGCGTCGTCGTCCTCGGGTGGTATTTTGCATAGTGGCGCTTCAATTAGCATGCCCGCTTCGGTTTGCTCATCGGCTACCACCTCTACGGCCACTTCACCCATTGAAGATATAGCATTACCAGCTCCGCCCATAACGCCACCACCGGCATTTCTTTCCGCTGGCTATAAGCGTTCATGCACCGGCGCCACTAATACGCCGACTAATGTAGTAACGGCGTCGAAGGCGTCATCAACAACAGCACCACGTGCTACATTGTCAACAGCCAAGGCAGTGGCTGGTTCTACTGCAAGGCTAGGCGCTGCTGTGGGCAGTGCAAGGTCATCATCCTCGGCAGCGTTGACGGCGGCAAGTGGCAGCAAAGCAATTGGTATGCGGCGAATGTTAGGTGAGTATGGATGGGAGTGGGGAATTTGTTGCGTTAGGGGTAGGCGGGTTGACGTCGCCTATGAGTTACGTGACATATTTATGTAGATATCTGTGTATGTCATCGATAAATTTCTAGATAAATATTTCGATACATATGTATATCGATAATAATCGCGATATTCATAAAAATATAACAGTAATGATGTCGATAAAGGTTATAAATGTTATGCCGATAATTTATCGATAACTATATAATTTATGGAATAAATTCTTAAAATGCATACATAGGTATATGTACCAATATCAATAATGAGAGCGGTAAGTGCAACAGTTTTGATATCGATAAAGAAGCTCATGCATTTTTTATCGATAACAATGTAAGTTTTTGAAAAGTGTATCGTTAATCGTCGCTACAAATTAACATTATTGATGTACTTAAAGAAGGTTATGCATAGCATATCGATAACTTTTACATTTCTATATAGATATACCGATAGCGATAGCGGCAAATGTAACAATATTGATATCGATAAAAAGGGACGCATGTTATATCGGTACATTATCGATAACTATATAACTTTCATATAAATATATCGATAACGATAGCGATACATAACAGTCTTGATATCTAAGAAAAGGCTTATACATGTTATATCGATAAATTATCGATAACTGTTTCATAAGAGTTATCGATAACAACACTGAATTTTACTTAAAATATCCCAAACTTACCACAGTGTGTCAAATTACCACCTATTTCTTCTATACTCGCATAGTTGAAATGTCGCACGTCTTACCAAAGGCCTGTTTAAATTACCGTTAAAGATAGAGGAAACAATGCCGGCCAGATTTCTCCTTAACCGTCTCATGCTCTTTTCTAAAAACAACAGAGAAAGAAGGGCCTGCAGTAAGCAGTCCAAATCGTATCGTATCGAGAATTAGTCTACCATAACCTAATATCGATTCAAAACCTAATATCGATATATTACGAAATATGTAGTCCGCAGCGTCACAATTGCCAAATTATTTCTCTATGCAGCGTCATGTCAAATGTAAAGCTAACTTTATTAGTTTCTTCTAGGCTTATTTATTTGGTAACAGAGTCATTGATACAATACATAAGCCAGACTATTGACATGGAATTGATAGGAGTTGTATGAGTCGCATTTGAGTATTTGCCACAAAGCAAATAAAAATATTTAACAACAAATACATATGTACATATGCGAACGCTTATACATTTTTGTTTATTTACTTAGTAACTAAATACATATAAAGCTACCAATATTATTATAGTTCAGAACATTGAGTAAATGTCTACTACGTACACTGCCGGCAAAAAGTTTTGGCACAGCTGCTTTTTTACAATATGTGCAACAATTTTTATTGTAATATATTCCCGCCAATNGTCAAATTACCACCTATTTCTTCTATACTCGCATAGTTGAAATGTCGCACCGTTAAAGATAGAGGAAACAATGCCGGCCAGATTTCTCCTTAAGTGCCTCATGCTCTTTTCTAAAAACAACAAAGAAAGAAGGGCCTGCAGTAAGCAGTCCAAATCGTATCGTATCGAGAATTAGTCTACCATAACCTAATATCGATTTAAAACCTAATATCGATATATTACGAAATATGTAGTCCGCAGCGTCACAATTGCCAAAATATTTCTCTATGCAGCGTCATGTCAAATGTAAAGCTAACTTTATTAGTTTCTTCTAGGCTTATTTATTTGGTAACAGAGTCATTGATACAATAAATAAGCCAGACTATTGACATGGAATTGATAGGAGTTGTATGAGTCGCATTTGAGTATTTGCCACAAAGCAAATAACAATATTTAACAACAAATACATATGTACATATGCGAACGCTTATACATTTATGTTTATTTACTTAGTAACTAAATACATATAAAGCTACCAATATTGTTATAGTTCAGAACATTGAGTAAACGTCTACTACGTACACTGCCGGCAAAAAGTATTGGCACAGCTGCTTTTTTACAATATGTGCAACAATTTTTATTGTAATATTTTCCCGCCAATTTTTTTTTTTTAATTATGGTTCATTTTACAAAAAACCCCATAAAAATATAATTTCTAAGCTTTGTGCAAAACTGGCGAAAATTCAGCAAATTTTCAACTTTTTAATCAGGTTTTTTTTTGAAAATTCTAGAAATTTTAGAATTCTAATATAAAAAATGCAAGTTCGGAGTTAGTCAAAAATCGCATTGATTTTTGATATTTTTTTTTTGTTGNAGCAAATTTTCAACTTTTTAATCAGGTTTTTTTTTGAAAATTCTAGAAATTTTAGAATTCTAATATAAAAAATGCAAGTTCGGAGTTAGTCAAAAATCGCATTGATTTTTGATATTTTTTTTTTTGTTGAAGGTGTTTGGCATTTTTCCATATAAAGTATTTTCGAAATTTTTTTTTTTTGTATAGAAGAGACTGCGTGAAAAAAAATGCCAAAAATCAACGGTACTTCGTAGCTACTTAGAACTTCTACTTTGGAATAGAATCGATTGGGCTACAAATCTGCATACTCAAACAAATTCTAAAAAGTTGAAGATTTGCATTATAATTTGCAGAATTTGCGCGAGTTTGCAAGTGTAGAAATTATATTTTTACGTTTTTTTGTACAAAATTTGCGGAAAAATATANGTAGCTACTTAGAACTTCTACTTTGGAATAGAATCGATTGGGCTACAAATCTGCATACTCAAACAAATTCTAAAAAGTTGAAGATTTGCATTATAATTTGCAGAATTTGCGCAAGTTTGCAAGTGTAGAAATTATATTTTTACGTTTTTTTGTACAAAATTTGCGGAAAAATATAAGAATAGAAATTGGTCCATATATTGTAAAAAAGCAGCTGTGCCAATACTTTTTGCCGGCAGTGTATATATGTAAACATCGTTCAAGTATTTGCAATTATCGGAATATCAAAGCAAGTAAATATTATTCAGTAGGTTGATTTGCAGCTTTGCCTGTAGCTTAGCTTTAGTGAAGTTTATGAAATTGTTTTAATAATTTCTTTTATATGTAGTAATTATTGTCACCGCCCAATTCTGTGTTTTCTTGATAAATTATTTGTATTCAAATGCCGGCACATGCGGTAATTAATTTATAGAAATACCTTTTCTATTATACAAAATTTATAATTTTCATATGAAAACTCAATCACTAAACGCTTGTCAATAGCATTTTCATTCTCGATAATTTATCAGGAAAAGAGCTTTTGATATCTGTGCTGAAATTCCAATTCTTGATAAATAAAAAAAAAAATACAAATTACACTGTGCAACAATTTGAGGGTCATTGGGGGTCCTCTCAGACAAAATCTTTGTACAAAGAATCTGTAAGTCCGCACAGTGTTATAAAAATGTTGACTTTATCAAGTGCACAGAATCGGCATGTTTCTCTATTTTATTATTTTTTTATTTTTGAGGGAGAAGCAGTGACTTCAAATTATTTGTGAAGAATTTCGTTCCTGTCATTCGATAAGAAGTTTTTTTTTCCTGAACATTCACTTATAACTGCAAAACGCTTCGAAATATTTTGCCTGCACCTTTAGAATTTGTCAGGTGTTCTCAGGCGGAAAATTTGAGCGCATCTCTAGATATTTATTGGTCAAGCTTCCTCACAAAGGTTAGACAGCTGAGGAGAAGTGTTACATGTCTCCGTTCAGATCAAATCAGATCAGATTATATTGTTACTCTAACCACGTGTAAACCCATGGTTACAACCTCCATTGGTTAACATAAAGCCCACTTCTCTAGGAGTATGTTACACCTAGCTAAATGTGCGTGAACCCTTTCTTACGTGGCGAGATCGTTTTTAGGGTACTCTTTTGACTAGTTTATCAGTCATGATATTTCATGCGATAGCGCTATCAAGGCCAACGGTAGGCTTAAAATCACTACAGAAATTGGCAAGCACACATTTAAGACCGCCTCCTGTAGATCAATTTCTACCACAACCTATAGAGCAGAGATGAGAAGACACCACCTTGTACAGTGCCTTTATTCATCCTGCGCGGATGAAGTCACTGTCGATACTCTGGAGATACAGTTTTGTCACAAAGATTGCTGTATATGCGTAAATCTCAGGAGTTTTTTTTTTTTTAGCGTCACGCCCTTCTCTCACCAGAAAAAAAAACGCTAAAGTATTTTTCAATCAATGGAGTTCCAGAAACAATTTCTATAAAAAATAATTCAAGTATTTGAACAGTTTTAGTCTTGAAACGTATATTCAGGGGAAAAAGTACCGAAATTACTAATTTTTTCATTGTCATTGGAAAAAAATAATAACGTTTTTGTCGAAAAATTTAACAACTCGTGAGATTTGCTCATTTTGCATTAGAAATGTGCTTCAAGGAGAAGAAGCTTAAGCTATTCGCTCGGGTCTGACCTGCCCTATGTTTATGAAAACAGTATTTTAAGACTAAATTACGTTAATACTGATTAAGCTAAACGCAGCAAAGTTTTAAGAATTTGATGTTATGTGAGGTGACTGTAATCGGCCACTTATTTTTTTTTTTAGTTAACAAAAAAATTTCGCCTAGAAATCTACTACTTCCTGTTGTTTACTGCTTTGTCTTTTATATGAAAACAATTTATAAGTCAAATGTACGTTTTTAAATACGTATTTAAACTCTTAAATATCTAGAAAAAATCCCAATACATCGAACGAATTGCCTATAATATTTAGAGTAGAACAGCAACTGATAAGCTACTTGAAGCCATCTTAAGCTTAGCGAGCTAATATATGTACATTAGGCTGTCTCACCGAAAAAGTTGCGGTTTTTCCAACGGAATTTTAATCTGCCTTATCCTGAGTTTGGCCTGAACAAAATTTACCCGAAAATTGCTCATTCGCCCCTAGTAAAACCATGAAAACCAAAAGTGAAAAGTGAGCCGGTTCGGGGAAAATGTAACTCATGATAAGGCTGAATATGTTTTATATTTTAAGACCGCCAAAAAATTTCGGAAAAATATTAAAATTTACGTGAGGA